GTTGAATTTAGTGTCGAGAAAGACCTCGTGCCAAGGACGGACAGCTGGCAAATGAGACATGCTTGATTTCTTCACTGCGAGCCGGTATATGTGGTCTTATGCAGGCGCATATTATTATGACTGTACTTGATACTACCTTGCTCCGGGGTATCGGCCAATGGCTTGCTGGACGGTTTGACATGGATCTGGAAAAAGTCCACTTTGCCCTCGGGGCTGTACAATATACATTAGTAGATACTACCCTATGCATATTGGCAGTAGGGCAGGATTGTTCCAGGGTACTCAGAAGGAGACCGGGGGGGCTAAACGAGCGTTGATCAACAACCATCCACTGGACTAAGGGTGCATCAGCCGGTTCCTCGGGATTTGTCCGTGCTGTCAGCTTTCCCTGTATGTCGACACATGATCGATGCAAGAACGATTGTCTCTGCAGCACTGTAGGGAAGAGGAGGTTTCCAATGCTGAAGCAAACTGAGAGGATTGCTCCGAGACGTGCATAACTATTACTCAATCTTTGCTCCTGCAGCTGTCTAAAGACATGCCCTGCGAGTGACAAACATTCCCAACCCTGCATGCCATAAGTGCTTCTTTCTGAATGGCCGGCGCCGCAACCGACTTGTTTAGTATAAGCACCCCCTCTCTTAGCCAACGGAAGCTCACGGAAACCATTTCGAGGCGAAGAAAACTAAAAAAAATAATTAAAATATATCACCGAATAAAACCACCAGAGAAAAGAAAATAGAGCATCAAACCGAGGTCCTCGACTGATCATCATTGAAGAGGCGCCTCGGAACCTAAACGCTCGATCTGGACGACATCCTGACGTTAACCTGGCGATGAACGCGTATGACCAGGAGCGCCCGATACCCTGCTGGGGCTAGTATGGAGCCGGCGTACGCCGTATAAGGATAGCCACCCAACGTTGCATACGTAGATAATGTTGTTTCCTTCTCCGCAGGGGGTAAACATGTACGGAGTAGCTACAAGGCCAAGCATTTGGCGATGATGAAGTTTGTGTAGTATATCCTCTTCCGACCCGGCGCTAACAGTGAGGAGAGAGCTTATGGCAATCTTTATCAATGTTGATGCTAGGGTGGAGCGAGCTAAGAGGAGGTAGGACTGTGGATAGGTGGGTTTATAGAGAATGATGTGGTACAGGGTTGGCTGGGGTTCGTCGTTGACGACGTTTGACAACACGTATGCGTGTTAAGCTGTGGGAAGCGATTCAGGATGAACAGGCCATATCTCGATAACGCATGCTAAGCAGGCCTTAGCGTTTGTTATGGGTCAGATGGGGAGGGGACCGGCGGCATGCTAGTAGCTTGCTAGCCATGCATTTGAGGGGCCATGAGCGAATCTTATGCCATTGTTCTCGAAATTAATCCTATTCCTGCTACTAAGTGAAACTTTCGATGGTTTCGAAGGATAACCCAGGGACCAGAAGAAGACGGGAGTGAAAAAATAGAAAAGAAAAAACAAAAGAAAAAAGAAAAGAAAGAATCACGGAACATCTGCAGGGATGGAACCACGTTTTTGAGCGGCTCCCTGGGTTTAGCCTAAGAAAATGAAGTTATTTCAGGTGCTGATTCGCTCTCTCGCTACGGAGTATATACACATATACTAGAAGCATGTACAATTTGTATGTACCGTCCAACGTTTCAGTGTACCCCTTATGTTTTCTTTTTCTTTTGCTCGATCGTAAGTTTCAGTTTGCCACTACTCAGACCGAGAGATAGCCTCGTTGCAATGGTGCGAATAGTTCACAGCTCAAGGTCTTGCCTCCGATGTCGTCGTCGACGGTGGAACGAAGGCCGTGTTTTCCAGAATATCGGAGGGGGTAATATCCGTTGTACATACATTATTCAAAGCGAATCAGAACGGCAGGAAATATCCAGAAGTGGATAAGTCCATCGGCCGGTCTCCACTTGGTGAACTCCACAGTACCGGTATCATACGGTTACGGTACCCAAGCCCGAGGCCTCGTACCGAGCCCTAAACCCGAGACGGACGGGCCTTTTATCTGATGTGGATTAGAAAAGCCCACTAGAACAACCTTGAAAATAACCTATCTCCTCGGGAAAAAGAAGAGATGCAGGGTCTATGTTATATTCAAGAGGGAATGATACAAAAATGCACAGAAACTCAATCACTTACACATTGGGATTGGACAACCCGCGTCACTAGACATAGTAGCTAATGCAGGATATAGTAGAACCACGGTTTCTATCACACCGTGGCTAAAAGCTTGTCCGTAAGGCTCTTCTGGGGATGTGATGAAAGGGCGCCTAACCAGGATGGGTAACGATGGGCATGATTGCTGTCTCGGCAGCACGAGTGCTTGATGGGTTGTGCTCTCGACAATAGACTGTCGATCTAGTGTCACCGCGGAATATTTTCTATCAAAAGGTCAGACATTAGCCATTGTTCTTTGTTTGGATCCTTTAAGTGCTATTTTGGACTTCGATCCGTCTCATTGAACTGTTGAGATATTGTACTCCAGCATAAAAAGCAATGTTTGTGAAAGTGTTGCGATCCCTGATCCAGACCATACAACATGTATGTAATCTCAATACGCAGTAGAGTTCACACCGGTGCAGGAACTAACAGTGACGAGAAGGTTACTTTTTCCGGGAATCCCTGGAAAGCTCTCTGTATCTAGTGGTTAGCGTAATAATAGCATGCGCTTCCAATTTAATTACTGCATTATTCCTTCTTATTTTAATTTTCCGTCAATTAATTATAACAGTCAATAGTGCAAAATCTTGCATTAGAGGCATCGTACGAAAAGTGATATCAATCCAGATATTGACCAACGTACCGTTCCTGATTAATCTCTAATCCAAATATACCTCCCAGGGATATATGATATGATCTGTAGTAGCTGATGTATGTTTCTGTCTACAAACAATACTGAATAACAAATGATTAACGATATGACAGAGACGTATGTCAATGAATCAGCTGACGACAAGAACCACGTACCAACCAGGGATCTAGTTCACTTTGGATCGGATTATACTACTTGGATAGGGAGTCGTGGGAGGGGCTTTCGGGCCCTGACCGGGGGCGTTGGTCCCTTCTCGCAATGGGGCTCCTACTCTCCTGACGAAAAGGATGATGACAATGACCCATCGAGTGGATGAAGTGGTGAGAGAACTGGGTAAATATAGCACGTCGGAGAGAGCAAAGCCACCCTGCTGGATGGAGCGGAGTGGCTGCCCCGACCAAAGGATTTGGAGTTAGCGGACGGGGAGTTTCCTGCAAAAAGGTAAGGGTAAGGATTCTAAGGAACGCCCTGCCATTAATGACTGGGTCCCAGAAGTTAACTAGTGCCGGGTGTTGGTTGTGCCTCTCGGAATTACTACCATTTGAATGTTAAATTGGCAGAGTTGATGAATTGCTTGTATTTTTTATTTTGACTTTTCTTTTTTGTTTTATTTTATTTTCGGGACTCCGAGACCCAGTGGAAACTTAATTGTTAATTTGCGAAGGACAAGATTCATGGTATTCTTTTTGGAAATCTAAATGTAATATTTTCAGCATATTTTCCCCCTATCGTACTGAAAGAATATGAGAATACCAACGAGTGAAAAATGCGTGAAATTTTTATACTTTTTGTTGATTATTCTTTTTCTTGTTTACTGATGGGCTTAAAATTACACTGGTCCCAACAAGACTCTGGGCAGACCCTTGGCCCCCTCTAAGGGAACAAATCCAAGGATTCCATGAACAGACTATTAGTTGTGGTATTATTCTAATTATTATTAGTTTGATTTTATTATTCTACAAATGAATGATGCCTACCACGGATCCACCAGGACTGGAGAACGCTAACTAGTGTCGTGGACACCCTCGAAGGCTCGAACGCTAACTAACTGGTTCACTATTACAGCGACTAAAGTAACTGACTGACTGACTTGACTGCGATGGCCAGAGCTTCTGGAGAGACCCTGGACGGGTTTCAAGATGCTGCTTCTTCTTCCTCTTATTCTTCTACTTTTCGTCCCTTTTTTCTTTTTCTTTTTCCCTTTTTCTTTTTTCCCCTTCTCTCTTTATCATTCGTCCTTCTTCCTCATTTTCTTCTACATTTATTTCTCTTTCCATTCGCCTTCTCCTTTCCTCTTTCATCCTCTATCTCAATTCTGTTCTTCCAAGTCTTCAATTCTTTCCTTCGCCGTTCCCCTCTTCTTAAACTAGACAAGCGTCTGTCTTTGCGTCGCTTTCCTCTCCTTTCCTTTCAATCGCCCCTTATCAATCAAACATCTATCAAATCACCTATCACGTCTCTCTATCACATTTGACGATCTCCTCTTAGCATCGATATCGGCGTGTAATCTCACTTCTCAATCCGGCTTTGGTTGCTCCTCGACTTACTCATCTCGCTATTTTTCTTGGCTCCGGCACTTCTCTGGAAGATAGTTGCTAGGGCTTATTATACCTGTCAGGGTGTTGATCCAATCCTCCTTCTATCTTCTGATCACTCCTTCATAACGCAACTCCGGGAAACCACCGGTTCAATTTTCAACTCCCTTTAAGAATCATTTATTTTTCCATCACCTATCGGAAGTGTTCGGTGGCGTCAACGACAGGGAGGGAAAGGAATATTTCTAAATCGTCTGCCAACGCTATTGTCCAGTCTTGAGGAGTGGAAGTATCGGGCTCTTTTTTATTATCCAGAACGTGGCAGGAGTTCTCGGGATTCTGCCCGGTTAAAATCGATTACTTCGCCAAGGAGGCCGAGTTCCACTGGGGTTTTGTCAGATCTGCATCCAAGTACCTGTCAATAGATCCGGTGCATGTTACACGAAGAAAGGACAAACATCCTCGAAGACATTTTGTGAGTACTCCCGTTTGATAGCTTTTCTTTTCTATCTTGGGCCCTCGTGGAAATTAGGATCACATATCCCTGCTTCGTCGAGTATCACCAAAGGATGCGACAAGAAACATTTCAGCTAACCATCCCCAAAGTCGCCCAATACCAGATAATTCTAGCATAAATAATGGCTAGCTGCAAGGCAGGCTTCGTGTCCATATTAAACAATGATGACAATCCATCATTCACAGTACGATCAAGCCCCCGCCTGTCCAGGCACCACTCTACTTCATCATACCCTTATCCGTCAGAGCCACGGCGAGAGGCATCAAACTCATACCATCGCTATGGGTACGCACATTCAGACTCCTTCCCGGTGAACCGGCAACAGTTCGATCCCGTATCGGAAGCCGCGCAGCCTGCGTCCCCCGGATCGTCTGACTGCTCTTATGACTACATGAGCACCGGATCCGGTTATTATTATCAGCCTAGTCGTCAGGAACTCAATGTTTACCAAGCGCCGACAGCGGGAACCGCAACGACAACTGCTGAGAAAAGGCTCAGCGCCAACAGCGTGTCTGACCCTCCCTCTCCACCAGCATCGATCAGTGGATCTAGAGATGCAATGGCAACCAAAGTAAACCGCAAGAACAAATATCCATGCCCATTTGCTGCTAGTCACAACTGTTCCGCTACCTTCACGACATCAGGACATGCGGCACGCCATGGAAAGAAGCACACGGGCGAAAAAAGTGTACACTGCCCGATTTGCAACAAGGCTTTCACCCGAAAGGACAATATGAAGCAGCACATTCGAACCCATCGGACACACTCTGAAGATCGGCCAACGGGTGTGACGGAGAAGGACACTGATGCAAGTAACCGGTGGCGCGTCAGGAGGGACAGCCCCTTGTACAACCACCACCGATCCTCGAGCCAGACCCAAATGGATGGAAATGCCTACGACAGCATGACAACTATGAGATGAGCGCAAGTGACTATGTCAGCGTTCGCAGTCACTTGGAACGATGTCATCATGAATTTGATGAGACACACGTGTGAGGCGAACGCATATGAAGCAACCGAACGTTTTAGCAATCTCCCAGATTCGGGCAGTTACGAGAGGTCAAACCTCCGTCATTATTTGCCCTATCCTTGCTCTTCTTTCCTTTTCCCATTTCACACGATCTCCGGGATGGTCTTTGATCTTCCTATGTTGGAGCAACTCGACAGGCGTTGAGGGTGACTGCTGTGCGGCACTCTCACTCGGTCACCGGTTTCACTTCTACCGTCTGAAAATGGCGGATAGAATTGGGATAGGATGGTTTTACCATGATATGAACAGACGAATGACTGGGCAGTAAAGTCCGGATTCTCTCATCTGTGTACCATTGGGAGAGGGCGATTACTTTGTCATTTTCTTTTCTTTATTCTCTTCTTTTATTCTTTGGCATTTTCTCCTTTTCTGATGTTTGTTTAAGTCTATTGCATGGCTATTTTGGATCAGCCTATAAGCGTTGTTTGTTTTTTGTCTTTGGGGTTTTCCTTTTTTTTCCTGTTTTTTCTTTGTGCCACGAGAAGTTCCAAGTTACGGCCAAGAAAGCCATTTTTTGATATGTATAGTATACCAACGATGTTAGGGGTCCATTGTGTAAGAGACCATGTCACATTGAAACGTGAATGAATTGATTGATATCCATACTGGAACGATTGTCTGTCCGCGGGTGTAGGTTGAAGTAGTACGGTACGAGGAGACAGGCATGGAGATACCCCTACCGATCGATGGTCGAGCATCTTGTGAATCACTGAGACCCCCCAGGACAAACAAGGTTGAACCACGGCACGCAGTCCGAAACCATGGTTGTCAAACCAGGCGTCGGCCTAGGTCAGGAACAGATGGGTCCATTTATGGAGCCGATGTGATGGAGCTTGGCCTCCAGATTTGCCGATAACGTAGCCTCGATGAGGCGTAACGTGTTCAGGCAGACAACCATCGTTTCTTTTCATTCTGATTGCGTGAATGAGGAATTGAGGCGAAGCGATATGATGTCAATGACTACTAGTGTTTTTTACTGGGCCTCTTGTCATTGCCAAATCAAAAGAGGATTGAACGTGATTCGGTTAGTCATCCAAGACGGGATCGCTGCCCAAGGCCCCAAACGGGTAAGGTGTTGTCTTCAGGGACATCCAGCGTAGTATTTTCAGGTGTGCATCAAATTGAGGGTCCGGCTCCACTGCTTCACTACCACCCTACTATGTGCTATACCATTCCTCTCGACACGGGTGAATGGAACTGTATGAAACACATTGCTCATGATTATCCCTTGCACCAGACGGCTTATACCTCGAAGATCGAGCTTGGATGGTTTCAGCCTTACTGGAGCGAAACAGCGAGTACTTCTATTAATACTGCCGTGCTGCATATCCTGTCAGAGAGGTACCGCCCCTACGTCACTGACGTGCAGGTGCCCCGCCTCTTGCCACAATTTCTCCCGTGTACTTTTCTTCGATCTTCATTCTTACTTATTACTACTCTCTCTTCCCTCTTCAACGCATATCTCATTGTCTCACTTTCTCTCATTTTTTGCTTCCCCTGACCTCATCCACATTCTTCTCCCCAAATCGTTGAACGTTGTAGGTGGCTTCTCCTGTATGATCGTCACCCCCACCGGTCTAGAGTTTGTCTTCCCACTCTAGCCAAAACAATGGCGTACCACGACGAGAGTCATTACTACTCCCCCCGCGATCGCTATGCGCGCCCAGCCAGTGTCTACTCGCAAGATTATTACTCCGGCGACGGTCCCTACAGTGGCAGTCGCCATGAAACGGGCGTCGTCCGACGGCACGACGGGAGCAACGAATCTCTTCCGGGGGATTATGGCTACGAATATGGATATGGTCTACCCCCTCAGTCTCGCCGCTCCAGGGTTTCCACCGTCAAAGAAGGTGTGCACAGGTCCCACTCCATGGGAGGCCGTGGTTCATATTACGATGATCCCGACTATCATCATTCGCGTCATAGTCGTCGTTCGAAACGTTATGACTACGATGATCCACGTATGTATTCTGTTTCTTGGGAGTGGAAAAAGGCCAAACTAGTGTGGCTGGGGTATATTCAACTAATCTTGTTGCAACAGGTGACCGTCACAGGCGCTCGCAGCGTTCTCCATCTAGCAGCCGATCGCCTCCCCGCAGACAGCGTAAATCCCTCTCGGAGCAGGCCATGGAAGCCCTAGGTATGGGTTCTGCTGCCTCTTCGGCCTCCAAGCATCACGAGCACCGTCGCGGGCGTTCCCACGGCCATCATAGTCGGTCCTACTCTTATTCGCCTTCTCCGACTCGGAGCAGAAGCCGTCATCGCCGGGATCGGAGTGAACAGCGAATTGCTCAGGCCATGAAAGCAGCTATAACTGCAGGCGCAGTGGAAGCTTACCGTGTGCGCAAAGAACCCGGCGACTGGACGGGCGCGAAAGGCAAACGAATTCTCACTGCCGCTTTGACAGCGGGTGGTACTGATGGCCTTGTGGACCGCGATCCTAACAAACATTCCAAGCGCCATATTATCGAGTCTACACTGGCTGGTCTGGCTGCGAACCATCTTGTGAATGGCCCCCGGTCTCGGTCCCAGTCCAAGTCCCGCGGCCGCGAAAAGCATAAGAGTAAACTGCCTGATCTTGCCGCCGCTGGAGCCCTGGCCGCCGCTGGGAAGGAAGCGTACAATCGGTTTCGGTCCCGGTCCCGCCCACGTGGTCGGTCTCACTCGCGCGACAGCCAGGAAGATTCTCCGCGCCGGCCCAGAAAGCGGAGTAGGAGTGTTTCCGACTATATCAACCGGGGCATGGAAGCGCTAGGCCTTGAAAACAAGGAGAAGGACACAGACGACCGGAGACGACATCGCGATCGACCCTCTCGCCGGGATGACTACTCGGACTATGACTCGGATAGTGAATACGGATCTAGGCACCATGGGAGCTCAAGACGGACTCGGCATTCCAGAGATGTAGGTCGATCTCTAAACCCTGGCAATACTCAATCGCCATCCTCCCCTAGTTGGTCCGGAGCCTCAGGCGAAGAAGGCTATACTCACTGCGAGGATATAAACTCAAACTCGGAGATGGATTCTGACCTTGGAAGCAGTACCGATGAGGAACACCAGCGCAAAAAGCTGACGCGGAAGATGCTCCTAACTACCGGTCTGGCCACCGTAGCAACCATCCACGCCGCCCACGGATTACACGGAAGCATGGAAAAGCATAAGAAACGAGTCAAAATGGTCAAGGAGGGCGACATGTCCCCTGAAGAAGCACGCAAACGTAGGTTGAAAAACAATCTTGGCGACGCCGCGAGTGTAGGTCTCGCAACGCTGGGCATCAAAGGTGCAATCGACGAATGGAGACACGTCGGCCATATGCGCAAACAGCGCAAAGATTTCCGAAAACAGTGCGATTCGAGACGAGAACGCCGCCGGGCTCAAAGTTACGGAGCCATGCCACGCCGATACACAGTGTATCCCGACGAAATCGAAGAATATCCCGCCTCTGAACGTGGATCGAGAGGTCGGTCTATGTCGGTAGCCCAAGAAGTATGATTTACGAAAAAAAAATACCTGAAATATGAAATTGAGATTGCCAATCTGCGTATGCTATAATTTATGACTGTATGATAATGATGGGCATGGCGGTGATGACCTTATGACTTTCTTTTGTTTGTTGCTTCATTTCATGTGCTTTGCAAATCTATGTCTTTATGCAAGTGGACTTTTGTCTCTATACGTCGAGTTTTGAATGTTATTTCGGGTAGCATGTTCCTTATCTCTGCTATTAGTACCCTCACACAGCTCTCTGCATACTTAGCATCCAACCTGCAAGCGAGTTAACCCTCTAGTACATATTACACAGTCCAAAACCACCTCACCACAAGAAGATAGAATAGTTCACCAACCAAAACAACCCTGCTTATCCATCAAGAAAAGCCAACCTACTAATTAGCCCAAACCACACCCAGCATTCTACACCAAACATAGGTACCAAATCTCCTCCACCAGAAACACAGACCCATGCATCCCAGATCCATTCAAAAATGCGGAGTGTACATACCGCATGCATTAGATAGATGACCTGAGATTAAAAACGGAGCATATGGCATGAGCCACGCCTCAAATAAAGTACCGTGGCTGGCGGGGTCCCGGGTCTCTGATTGGGTGTGTGGTTCAGAGTAAGATTAAAGTATATTAATATGCATGGATTAGGGACGGCGGGGTCATTTGGATTAAATTGCTGTGTGGCATTTATGGGAGAATAAATGAAGAAGAATTAAAAAAAAGAAAAAAGACTCTATGTACGACTCCGACGCACAACACCGGTATCCTTATCCCGTCCCGAGTAAGAAAAAGGAATCCAAAGCAAGAATGATAGGGTTTCATGAAAGCGATTGAGGCAAAGTGATAGATCAAATAGGAGCAAATATGATGCGTAGATGCATGGACGAGGCACAACAGGTTTGGAATTGGGACGCTTTAACGATCAAATCCTAGTGCGAGGCAGAACAGAAACATGTGCGGTGAGATGCTGAAACTATAAGAAATGTTGCGGCTAGCTGTACAATCCATCCGTCGGGGAAGAGCGCAAGGAAAGTGAGAAACATTTTTACAGGTGTCTTTTTTTTTTCCGGCTGGTATTAGGGCATGACTATGTCAGGAAAGGAGCGGATTAGACCTAGTCTGGGACGGATGGCGGTCAAGGAGAGGAGGAGCTTCAAGGAATGTGTTTCTGGTTCAAACTCGGGTAAGGTCAACGTTCGGCATTGAGATTCAACCAGCTCATATCTGAGTTGATGTTGTTGTTGTTGCGAGGGTCGCGCGGTGGGACGGGTTCGACGCTGTCGGGGATAAGCACGCTTGAGCCGCGCGTGTTCATGCGGGCATCGCGTAACGGGGTCACGAGCGAAGGCATGTCAGACGTGCTCGAGTTGTAATAGCTTGGATTATAGTAACTTCTGCTGTAGGTGCTGCTTGGGGGACGGCCAAGCCAGCTTTGTTGTGCACGTGACCCGTGGTCGTCGTAGTCCTCGACCGATTCGACGGTGATGTCACTGGCAGTGGAGATGCGAGCGGACTGGCTCTCGGGGATTGTGATGTATTGTCCATTTTTAGGTGACGTAGCATGCTCGGTGGTGGGGCTGCCACTCACGACACATCCCAACGGCTTCGGTGCTTCTAAGAAGTTGGTGTCCAGAGGCGTCAGGGTCTTCATCGGCCATGCAGTAGCTGTCGTGGCCGTCGAGTCAGGCCGGGCGGGCACAGCTGCCGGCGGAACCATCAGAGGCGCCGCACTGGTATCTTGGAAATACCTACCCCAGCCTTCACTCGTTTGCCGGTCTCCAGGATGGTTTCTAGGTAGTGAGTCTTGGGCCTCGATGGCCTTGTCGAATTCACCTGAGCTGAGCTCCCTGCTGGACTGAATGGTGCTCAAGGGACTCGGCTTGTGATCGAAACTGGGAGGGGCGCCGGCGGGCCTGGGCGACTTTTCCTCGCCGACATTGCCGGAGAAGATTGCAAGGGAGTCAACCGACGATGCCGCGAGCGGTGCAGGGCTCTTCGCCATCGGATATGCGGACCGAGTCAGCGGCTCGACACCGCGGTCCTGGAAGCTTAAGCGATCCTTGTCACCACCATTTTGACCCTGGGCAGCGCGCTTCTTCGCATCCTTCTTATGCTTCAGGATGAAGAGGATTACAATTAAAATGGCAGCAATTCCTACGATACCTCCAAGAGTGGCTCCAATGATCGTGCCAACATTGCTGCTCGAGGAGTCGTCGCTGGCCGGGGCGCCGGAAGTCTCACTGGATCCGCTTGCCGTAGCGGTCGGCGTTGAGGTCGTTGTTCCAAGGATTTGTTGCGAGGTCTGTTCACCGTAAAATAGCTTGGTTGCATTTACCCAACTGTTCGACGTTTGGTTGAAAATTGCCAGGGTGTCCGTGCCACTGCCGCTGGAGAGAACCACCAACCCATTGTTGCCCTGTGCCAGGGAGTAGTCTTTTCGCGTTGTGGTGGGCGCCAAGGAGTCGTCGTATGTTGGATAATCATCGAGAGTAATCCCCCTCTTGGTCGAGGAAGATTCAGAGCTGTTTCTTTTGTGAGCGGGGTTGCCGTCGGAATTGAGCAAGGTTATGCTGGTGACATTGTTGGGTGATGCGCTCATGTCGAAAGCTTCGAGAATTTTGCTGCCGTCGGTCCCATTGACAAGAGCGCATTGTACATCGTCCGACAGGGGTGTTGGGATGGTCACATCGGAGCTGTGCCAACCTTGGATGAGATCGAACAGATGCACTTGATCCGGGGTCGTCAATCCACCAACCAGCGCAGCCTCCTTGTCGTTCCATGGTAGTAGTACGGGATCGTAAGCCGGGGATGCATCTGCGGCCGAGTATGCTGAAAGATTGTACGGCTCCTGGGTATTAATGGCAAACGTGTCCGACGATGCATCGGTTTGCTCACGTTGGTGGCCGCCGTAAATCAGAAGAGCGGAGGACGATTTGAGATAGACCGCTTTATGGGAGGTTCGATTGGCCATATTCCCGTTGACGCCGTCGATTGTCTTCCACTTTTTGTCTTTGAACGAGTATCGCTGTAACCCGGAGCTTACACCCTTGGAAGGCGTTCCTCCGATCACATAAAGCGCCTGCTGATCCTCGTTACCGTCCGTTCCTCCTGTAACGCAAGCGGCTTTGGAAACCGGTTGTCCCATAGGCAATTGCGTCCATGTCGCATTGCGTTCGAGTGCTATCGAAGCGAAACCGTTGGCTGAGTAAGTGTATAAAGTGTTGTCGTGAATGACGGAACAGTGGTCCTCCAATTTCACAGGAGGTTTGGGAACGATCATATCGAATGACAGAACGAGTGAGTTTCTTCGAGAAGACCAGCCGAAGAGAACGAGGTATTAACCAGCCGCCAGAGGTGTGGACACGGGCGGAAGGGTAGAGAACGAATGGAAGGTGACTGCCAGAGCACTATCTCATGGTCGAGGGTCGATTGATCGTTTGGGGCGCTGGGCCGTGAAGGTGTTTTCAACCCGTTACCAACCTGAATCAACCAGAGGGGTAGATTTGTCTTCGAATACGTCAAGATAGCGAGAGTTTTCTTTTTTTTCCTTTTTCCCTTTTTTACGAAACTTCCTTTCCCAGACCTATACGTGTGCGTGATACTATAAAAGGAGCGATTCGAACCAGGATCAGTTGGCGTTCACTGAAGGTAAGACCACCCCCACGATATACCTCAAAAAGGGATAGCTGTTGAGCAAAAATGAATGGCGACCTGTCTCGAAGTGATCAACAGAGAATTCAGGGGGAGAGGCGAGTTCGGAATAATGCGCGATATCAAATCGGCAGTGAAGGTGAAGAAAAGCGAGCGACAAGGTTCTCGAACGAACAGGAAACGAGGGAAGAAAGAGACAAAGGTGGGTTAGAAGGAAGAGAACAAAAGAGAGCAGCGCAGCCGAGCATCAGGAGAGAAAGATCAAATCGTGTCTGGATGGGTGCAGGGAGAAGGATGAAACAACGGAGGGCAGCTTAGACCAGCACTAGGGGCGGACTCACCCTAATCGTGATATTCTCCCGAGAAAACAATCAAATTGAACTCAACGTCATCTAGGCACTGGGAGAGGAAGGCTGAGAGAAAGACATGAACTGAATAGACTGAATCATTCAAACCGTGACCCTCCAAATTGAACCTGCCAGCACGTTCTCGATATACAGGGATTGGAAAAAGCAACGAAACGTGGAGAAAAAAACACTGATTGACGGTTGACGGCGACGGCTGAGGAGGGCACGCTAACGGTTAACAGGTCCTCGACACCTGAGGTGTGTATGTGGATCAATTGGGTGCGAAAGCCTAAGACCCTCTCCATACCGGACACGGCACTTATTTTATTTTACTTCACTTTACTTTCCCTTTTTTAACTTCGTATTTCTTCGGATCGCGTTGACACACAAACATTTTCTGGTTCGACGTGTCTCCCTCTCGAACGCCATCCTTACATGGGGATTTTGCGAAGGTGCCCTGCGGCAAGGGGATATCCACATCAAATTAAACATCATAACAATTCCCCCCCCAATCTATACCGGAAATCCACTTGACCCGGTCCAGGTTACTCAGGGGTTCCATCCAATGGCTCGGGATGGTGTCATCCAGCCCACCGCATATCCATGGTTCTGTCGTTCTCCCGAAGTTTGGAATGATATCTCCCCCATTTTCCTTGTTTACTCCCCTTTTCTCCCGTCGTATAAAGTTCCAGAGCATATCCCAAGATTGAGAGGACTTTTATTGGATTGTTTTTTTCTTTCTTCTTTTTCTTTTCCCCTTCTTTCCTCTTTTTCCGACATTCCCTCTCGACAATACTACCCTTGCACCCCCTCCTCTAGGGCGAGGATGAACCCGACTAATGGTGGCTGACCAGAAAATTTCAATCCAATGATAATTTTCCATGGCGTAGTCGATTGATTAAAAGCCCGTGGCATTGGCCCCAGCGGCATCCTGGGCGAGGTGGTATTATATTAATCACCATGAGCAGAGCCAGTGAGGGACGGAGAATC